TATCTCATAATGGCTCATTCTTGTTAAGTACATATTTTTAAATGATAAAATATTTTATATGACAAGTATCTGCTATAAATAGGTGATTGTTAGCATATGAATATACTTTACATAATCATCAAATCTGTGATATGAAGATTACAATTCTTTTTTCCAAACTCATCTTTATTGGATTTCTTAGTTTTCACATGAGCATCCTTTGCTCTGCTCCAGGGGCCAAGCTAGGAGCCCACGCTGCATCTAGTCACTGCGTCTTCACAGTGATTCCTCACGAGCGATCATTTCTCTGTCACTGATTTTACCGTTGTGACAGTTTTGAGGCATGCTGGTATGTTGTTTTGTGGAGTATACACCAGCTTTTTAGTGTATTCAAACAACATAAGTAAATGAGTCCAATTGAAATAAAATACACTCTTAGTAATAAGTTTAATTACAATATGAGCGGTTTCCCAGTATTTGGTTTTTTTTTTTCTTTGCATAAAGATTTTCTAACACTGTAACAAAAAATCAAGTGACTGTCATGTATTTCTCTGGAAAGACCCACTTAAATCTATTCTGCTCTATGATTTACTTCCTACAGTCTCCTCACTCTTTTTAGAATTTTGGATACACCAGGATCCCATATGTGGGCGCCAGTTCTAATCCTGGCTGCCCTACTTCCCATCCAGCTCCCTGCCTGTGGCCTGGGAAAGCAGTCGAGGACGGCCCAAAGCCTTGGGACCCTGCACCCACATGGGAGACCTGGAAGAAGCTCTTGGCTCCTGGCTCTGGATCGGCACAGCACCGGCCGTTGTGATCACTTGGGGAGTGAATCATCAGATGGAAGATGTTCCTCTCTATCTCTTCTCCTCTCTGCATATCTGACTTGGCAATAAAAATAAATAAATCTTAAAAAAAAAAAAGAACTGAACTTCAGACACGAACAACAGGGTCCACAACCTTGAGCACCATGTGAGGTTAGTGCTTCATCCTTGTTCTGTTTGGCATGTGTTTCAAGTTCTTTCAATCTTTAAGATTACAGAAATTATTAAACAAAGCATTCGTCACTTGGTGTCCACGAGGGCAAGGGCCTAAGGCCCAACCATTCCACTCAAAAACACCAAAATCCAATGATACTCAAGTCCCCAGTGAACAACGGTGCAGGATTTACCTATAATCTACACATACTTGTCCAAATATTTTAACTCAGTTCTCTATTGCTATTAATACCTAATAACTATGGTATGGAGATAGTTATAGCACAATATTTTACAGGATAATAACAAAAGAATCAGACACAACACACCTTTTTTCAAATATTTCTGCTCCACAGTTGATTGAATCCATAGCTGTGGGATTTGTGGCTGCAGAGAGGGAAGGCTGTGTGACACTAAAAGTGTTCTCAAGATTCCAGTCTAGCAATTTGATTCGTAATTTTCTATAGCAAAGATTAGTTTGTAAAACGGCTTCGTCTTGATTTGTTTGGACAACAAAGGTTTTAATTTGCAAGGTGGCATATGACTGTAGCCAACTCAGTCACACTAACCAGCAGAGCCACTTGCCTTGGTCACTTTATCACTCACAAGTTGTCCTTCCCGCACCTCAGAGCTTTCAAATGTCACCTCCTGTGTATCCATTTCATTCACCTTTTCTGCATATATTTTAGCTCCTTGTGAAAGCTAAAATGAAAATGAAAAAAGGGAACATGTGTGTACACAGGTGCATTTGCAAGGCTGGTGAGTCATTGATACAACAGAAGCAGTTCTTTCACTTAGAAAAAAGGAAGACGACTCCTATTGCAAAAAAAAATCTTCAAAGTGGGCATATAAAATAATAATTTATGCATTCTTCAACTGATTTACATATGTATCTCAAATAAACAGTTTTCTGAGACAAAAGAAAAACCAATACTTCAAAAAGTTCATAAAAAACAAGTTAACTTTGTCACTAAAAATTCTTTTAAAATCCCTGCCAATTTTTTTGTAATACAGATTTTTCCATGAAATAGCTGAAAACACTCATATTTCTCCATTTCTCCCTGTCCTTCTGTCTTTCTGTTACTGTGCCTATAAAAACAATATTTTAAAAAATGTAACAAAATTAGGCTGAAAAAAAGGGACCATGCAGATAATTCCTAAAAGAAATGACTAATATATATGAATGAAAAGACTAATTATTTTTACATAACTACACCATCAAACAGTAACCATTAAGTTTCTCTGAAAAACTAGGACTTACTTCATTAGCCCATTTCCTACCACCCACCTGCCAAAAAAAGTATACATCCAAACAACAGAATCAGACAACGGCTAACAGGTCAAAGCAAGCGAGGCCCGAGGCCAGAGCTGTTGCTTAGCAGTCAGGCCTCCTCTGAGGGACAGGCATCCCATTCAGGTATACATTTGAACACTGGCTGCTCCACCCCAGCTCCTGCTTGTGTCTTGGGAAGGCAGTGCAAGACAGCGTGAGTTCTTGGGCCCTGCACCCATGTGGGAGACCCAGAAGAAGCTCCAGGCTCCTGGCTCCAGACTGGCCCATGTCCAGCTGATGCAGAAAATGAGCCAGAGACTGAAAGATCTCTTTTTCTCTCTGATGTTACATCTCTCTCTCTCTCTCTCTGTAAATCTGCCTTGCAAATAAAAGTAAATCTAAAAAGCAAATTGGAATTAAACAATTGGAGTTGTTGATTAGGAGATCCCAAATGCATTGTTTACAAAATTAAGTGAATACCGTGCAGTCTTAAAGGTTCCTGAAGGAGCATATTGTAATGTTTTGTTTCAGGAAAACTGATCATCAAAACATCATATGGGGGTTGGACTTCCAGCCACTACATGGCGGCTGGGGGGCCCCAGGACGGGGGCGTCTCAAGCCTGGATCACACACGGCAGCTACCACGCGCACATGGTGAGCTGCCCCCTGGGCCTGCCAGAGCCCCGTGGGCTGCCCTTCTTTGGGGTAAGTCTCAGAGCTTTGTGAAGCGGGTCTGGGCCCTCCCACTGCTCGCCTGGGGCCAGTGCACCATTTGGCGCTAGGCTCCACCTGCTGGCTGCCTGGCCAGGGAGCTCTGGGATTTTGGTTCTTTGATTTGCTGCTTAGATAGCTCCATGCTGAACCCTCAGTGCTTTGGGGACATGAATCAATCCTAAAGATTCCCAATGACAGTAAATTTTCCTCAGATGAACCTGTAATTAATACTGTCTCAACCCATGTGTTTTGAAAAATTGTAAAACCTAATACACTTTCAAAACCTTGTGCCACTCAGAAATGGGGCGGGAGAGCAAAGAAATCTTCCATTTCCTTTGAATGTGTGAGGAAGCCGTGTAGTGTAACCTATCAGGAACATAACAGGTAACTTATAGACAATAGATTCAAAAGAGTTAAACTACAAAGACATACAGGGGGAATCAAGAGCAATCCTTACAACCTATTAACAGGAAGTCATATGGACAGAGCAGGAGGGAGCCCCATAGTGGAACAGAGGGACAGGAGGAGGCTTGTACCCCAACCCTGGAGACCCCCAGATCCCCACCAAGGACTACCAGTACAGGCATCAAGAACTACATCCCAGCTGCCAAAGAGACCACGGGGAATGCAAATGCCTTCGGAGGCCGAGAACTCAGAGGGCATCCCCCCTTTGGATCTACCACATGGGATGGAAGAAGCCCGAATCCTTCCTTGTAGGATCCAAGGTCAAGGGAACAACAGCCAGGAACCCTGAGCGGTCTTCAGAATCAGAAGAACAGTAAGCTTCCTTCGGGAGTAGGGAGAGGAGCTTTCTCTGGTCCTTACTTAGTTCCAACTCTGGGTCCCCACCCTCTCTGCAATGACCATCAGGGTCACTCCAGAGCCCCCCACACCAAACACAAATTAGAATAGATGGGCAGAGAACAACAAGGAAAGCTTAGTCAGCATGGACTCACACATAGGTAGGACACAGAGTAAGTACTCCTCACCAAGTTATGGAGGATTTCTCTACACACCCCTCCTAAAACTGTTTTGCACCTCAATTGTTGAAATGTCAATGAAGTAGTCACAGAATGTGGTTAAGAATGTGCATTTATTTTTTGGGCCCAGCAGCATGGCCTAGCAGCTAAAGTCCTCACCTTGAACACCCCGGGATCCCATATGGGCGCCAGTTCTAATCCTGGCTGCCCTACTTCCCATCTAACTCCCTGCTTGTGGCCTGGGAAAGCAGTCAAGGACAGCCCAAAACTTTGGGACCCTGCACCCACTTGGGAGACCCAGAAGAGGTTCCTGGTTCCCAGCTCCAGATCAGCACAGCACTGGCCGTTATGGTCACTTGGGGAGTGAATCATCAGATGGAAGATCTTCCTCTCTGTCTCTCCTCCTCTCTGTATATCTGACTTTGTAATAAAAATGAATAAATCTTAAAAAAAAAAAAAAGAACTTGCATTTATTTTTAACATGTTGTTTACTCAACACTATGTCAATTAATTCCATAATGTTATATATGTTGCTGATGTTATGTTGGGGCTTTTAATTGATTGGGGTCTTACTCTGTTGGCTCTACCTTCAGAGCAGAGAAGGTCTCCCCATGAAGCCGTTGAACTTATCTGGACAATTAAGTTGCTGGACTCTATGCTTGGTATATACTTGCAATGAAGGAATCTCAACTGAACTTGAACTGTGGTTATGCAACAAGGTGGAGGAATCCACCATGGGGGGAGTGTTAGGGGAATCCCAGTACCTATAAAACTGTGTCACATAATACAATGTAACTAATAATTTTTTTAAAAAATCATATAAAAGTAGTTGTAACAAGAAACATGATCCAAGTGAATTTTTTTAAGTATAAAAGTCTATTTTTGATGGTACCATAGCTGAACACTGGTTTGACTATCACTTCCTCTTGAGACTAAGGGGACAAAAACTGCTGCTTTGCTGTTGTTTTAGATGCATGTAAACATAAAGAAAAATAGGCAGTGAGGCAAAGATGACTGTAAAAACAAAGACTAGAAAGTGGCAGAAAAGTGGTGAGCAAGTCAGCAGACCTCAGAAGGCTACGACTCGAACTAGGAGATGGGAAGGGCCAAAGGCAGGTTGATTCGATACCACCCCAAAAAGTTTAGCATCTGAAGACAAAACAACAGGAGTGTCAGGGCGCTGAAAACAAGGAGAAGTACAGTGAGCCTCAATGTAAAAAGTGTGGCCACTGCTGGGGCATCCACATCCCACACCAGGTCCCTGCTTCCCGCTAACGTGACCCATCAGAGCCAGCAGGTGGATCCCTGACACCACGTGACGGACCAAGACTGAGGTCAGCTCTGAGTGTTGGCCTGGCCCAGCCCTCACCACTGCAGGTATTTGGGGAGTGAGCCAGCAGATAAAACTCTCTCAATCAGTGCATTTTTATAGACTTACATCTCCTGAAAACAGCGTACTGATGAATTGTGAAACAGGTACACAGGAAACAAAAACACTTATTAATGTTAGAGAAAATGTTGGATAAGACAGAACATATAACATGTTTCCATGACCCAGACACAGTATTGAGAGAATTGTAATAATGCAATTACTGAAAAACTGCCAAGTTTCCTTCTGGGAAACTATCTTTTTTTGGAAAACAGAAAGAAACGAAATGCATGTGGACAAGTGTGTCTTGCCTTTAAGATGGGGAGGAAAGGAGAGACGCTAAGTCCGGGCTCTCTCCTCTCTTTAGGCCCCAGTAAGAGTGGGTGCTGACTGCCGTTGGCTGTGGTTACTGAAGTTTCCTTTCAGCCCTAGGTAACAGTACCAGAAGCAAATACGCTGGTGCATCCTAATCCGAAACAGGCAGCTGAAAGCGTGCAGTGAAATGACACTGCTCTGATGCTAACTAGGGAAAGATCCTCTTGCCTCTAATGCTTGTCGGTCATGAGTACCCCCAAAATGCTTCTAATTACATAGTAGAGTGCTAGCATCTCGACAGAGTACAAACCTGGTTCAGGTTTCTCTGAAGCTGTGCGTTTTCATTGAAAGTCTCTTCTGCTTCTACCCTGAGTTGCTCAATATTCATTTGAGATATTTTGATGCCTGTTTCAGACTAAGAAAAAAATGCATTAAGCCAGTAACAAATAACACACTACAACAGCTCATTTGCATGCACTCCCTCGAATACAGATGTGAACAAAAGCCAAAGCATGCACAAGCATATTTGCCAACACGGCAGCAACATACCAACAGAGGCAACCCGGCAGAGCCAGAGGAAAAGAACGAGTCAGGGTGTAGCTCAGCCACCAGTGTCGCGTGTGACAAATGATTTAACCTGCTCTCAATGTCCATGGACCACATCGGAAATTTTGTGAGCCACTTATTCTGTATCTCCTCCACTAAAAGTTAAACACCAGGAGGGCTTTGTGCCTTAACATATAAAACACCAAATAACTTACAAAGGGCTCAGTAAATAGCAACAGCTTTTCAAATATTTGTATAGTGTTATAATAAACCTTTCTGAAGTGTCATGCGCATGTGCAAATTGAAGATGCTCTATATCTGAAGCCCTAACATCGTGTAGTAGTCCTTAGTAACAAAAACAACAACCAAATTTAAATTATTCACAAAAGCAAAAGAGCTACAAGTGTTAGGCCAATTCAACTTACTGCAGCAATTTCTGATGTGAAGAATTTTAACTCGTCTCTTAGGGTCTGTACCCTTTGTGAGATGTCTGCCATCTGGAAAGAAAGTGTCGGCCAGTGTTAGTATTTACTGAACTCCAGCTTTCAGGTTGTTATATCTCAACTTTGAAATTTCACAACACTAAGTGACAGAGACTCAGAATGAGTTCATTCACAATGCATCTTAATAAATAACCCCGCACACATATCACGATTTTACTTGCATGTTTTTACAATATGCTTATCATACTTTTTAAGCAATAAAAAGTACCCAATGGGTATGTGGTCACCCTTTCTTATATGAGCTACATCAGTAGTGTATGTAGAAATTTTTGTAAGAAACTATGCTTAAAAAGTGCTTTATGTATGGCATCTAGGAAAAGAGTACATCTAGAAAGTTCTGGCCTGCATTTTATAGTGTCCTGTGTTCCTTGTCTCTGCACAGTACATGATATATTTTAGTCGATATCATTGCGTTTTAAAAGCTCATTAGCACTATTTTGTACTATTTTCCTTAGACACACAAAAAAATTACCAATTCATCTTTCTCGGAATGTTTAGACTTCTCTTCTTTTAACTGTTTTTCTAAAAAGAGAACTTCATCCTCAAGTTTGGATTTACAACTTCCCAGTTCTTCATAGGTTGCCTAAGAAAAAGAAAAAATTATGTTAAGATTGATGAGGGAATTTGAAGTTAGGGAAATCAGGTGACTACAGCCAAGCATATGGAGTGTAAGTTAGGTCTGGCTTGTAGATTCTGATATTTTTAGAACAAGAAAGTCCCAGCAGTTGTACGGGTTGCAGGCCACACAGTCTCTACCACGCACCCATCCGTGTGACGTTACCGAGCAGAGATAACGCCACACGCAGCACTGTCTCCTGGGGCTTTGTTTTGTTTTGTTTCGTTTTCCTTTTTAGAAAAACAGTTGAGGTTGAAGGGCAGATTCCTGAGACTATGGACTGTATAATGAAAAACAAAATCTTTTTAAAATAGGAAAACCAAGTAGGGAATCCACTGTTCACTGTGTGTTGCCTCTGCTCTAAAGCAATATAAAATTCAAAGGGCAAAATAACCCGAGTACAATTCACAACATCACATAAAAGTTAAACAGAAAGCAACATTGCACTATGTCAATTAATTCCATAATGCTGTATATTGATACTGAGGTTTTGTTGGGGCTTTTAACTGACCGGATCTTTACTCTGTTAGCTCTACCTTCAGACCAGAGAAGGTCTCCCCAAGAGGCCACTGAACTTATCTGGACAATAAGACGCTGGACTTTATGCTAGGTATGTGCTTGCAATGAAGGAATCTCAACTGAACTTGAACTGTGGTTATGCAGCAAGGTGGAGGAATCCACCATGGGGGGAGGGGTATGGGAGGGGTGGGGGGGGGAATCCCCAGTGCCTATAAAACTGTATCACATAATACAATGTAAACAACAATAAAAAAAAAAGAAAGCAACATTGCTCAATGATACTTGATACTGATTTTTTAAACATTTGTTCAATTTTTAATTTAAAGTGATTATGGAATTATTCCAACTGAATTTTAAATAATATGATAAACATACCTCTGCCATTTGTGAGCCTTCAACAAACTTGTTTAAAAACAAAGAACAAAATCAAAGACAAAGAATGCAAAGCAGGCAAAAACAAATAAAAGAGGGAAAAAGGCAGTATCATGCTGCTTAAAATATTTGTTTTTCCCTCTTTCACTAAATTTTGCTATTTTTATAGAAATTGTCGGATCTGAATCCAAATTACTCTACTGGTTTAATTTCATCTATAGATTCAGCTACTAAATTTGTTAAAATTCTATCACATAGTTTGTATTCAGTTATGACTACTGTTCCTGGAAAACAAATGCTATGTTTTTTTCATTAGTAAAATTAGAGAAAACATTCCAAAATATCTAATTAGTTAATTTTTCTGGTATGTTACAAAACTGCCTTGTCTCACAATGAGCTGGTATATTTCATTACTTCATGTTGTTTACACATACAACCCAGGTGGAGTAACTGTATTTGCCACTGAGTTTTACCTGCTCTGTTAGCATGCAAAATACCTTGTGAAACTCTTCCAATTTATCAAACCACTAATCAATTATTGCTGGGACAGTAATTTTGAAAGGAGTCGGTCAGCAAAGAAAACAGTTTTATCAACAACATTGATAGCATTTGCTAACACATGGAGAACGTATTAATACATGTGCCATATTTGCAACCCAATTTATACCATCCTTGGGGCTCTGAAGGTAGTCGGGGTGACAGACAGATGCTCTGCTGATGACAGTCATAGTGATTGTAAATTACTACATGGAGCCGAACTCATACACCAAATCAAAATGTTATCATCTTCTAACTTAACACTGGCAGCGCGGGCCTCCTCCATCTTTGTCACTTCTCGACTTTCTATATTCTCATCTTCAAGCACTAGTGAGATACTCCAATCACCTGAATCCATCTTAATTTAGCTAAAACATAATATGTTTTCCTTATAAGGAGCTACTTCACAGCAGGCTCAGGAAAGTTGACTCTTGAGGATTCTCCCACTCAGTAACCTCAGGTTGGTAGCTGGAGACTGGCCATGGTGGGAGCATTTTATTCCCCAGAACTTGGCCGATGACTTCTGGAAAGCCAGTTCTCAAACACTTGGCAGCACACCAATATCTGTAAATCAAAACTGTCATCTGATTCTGCATAATTTCTAATACTCTGGGAATTACATAAAGGCAAATACCATCACACAGTTTAGGTAATTTGTTGTCAGCTATGCCTAAGTTTGTTTGAATGAATCCTTTATCTCCTTGTGGAGTAAACTTGGTCCAAAAAAGGAAGGGTCACTCCATGAATGAGCCAGGAAGGAAGAACAAAGAGCTTCCACAGAGCTCCACAATCCACTGAACTGAACATGACTCACTCGACACAGGAACCACCTCCAATGACCGATTTTCAATACTTAATGTTTTCTTTTTAAGTTGTAGAAGCTAAAATATTTTTCACATTTCTTTCCAACATGTTTTTCTGACAATATATTATCTTTAAAGTCTGTATGAGTAACAATCTTTGTCCCAACTTTTAAGATGAGGCCATTTGGCTTCTTTACCTTCAAAGTTTGCATTTCTTCTAACTCCCGAAAGTTGGCGTCTTTCAAAGATGACTCTAAGCCTTCATACTGAAATAAATCAGCACTGTGAGTATAAAGTATACATTGTTTTAATAAAGATGTATTTGTTTGTTTGGGAGGCAGGACTTCACAGAGAGAGAAGGAGAAACAGAGATTAGCTGTTCAAGCTCCACATGGCTGCACATCCAGGGGTAGGTCAATGGAAGCCAGGCACCAGGAGCTTGTCACGCTCTCCCACCCAGTGCAGGGACCCAAGCGTCTGTGTGCGCTTCTGGCTTCCTAGGTGCACTACCAAGGGAGAGCTAGACTGAAAGTGGAGCACAGGCTGGCCATGTGAGATGGCAGGTGAAGTTTCCTCCATTCCATAAGGGTGCCACATTGTATCTTGGCTGCCCATTTCTGGTCCAGCTCCCTGCCAATGGCATGGGAAAGGGACCCTGCCACCCACATGGGAGAGCCAAATTGTGTGTGCCTGCCTATCTTTCCCAATCTCTCAGGAGTATGAAGAGGAAGAGAAAGGCCAAGAGCAAGGGAAGGGATGGAGGGATAAGGAGGGAGAGGGACGGAGAGAGGGGTTAGAATGGAAGGGAAGGGAAGAAACAAAGGCAGACACCATCAAATTGACACCCATTTGGAATGTCAGTGTTTCATGGGGGCTTAACATACTGCACTATAAAAGCCACTTGCAAACTGTAAATGCTTTTGCAACTTCTGTCTCGATAGAAGCATATGAAACAGGCTCTATTTCCACACACATGCTATATTTACTTGGATTTACTTAGCATCAAGATTTTCAAATATGGTCATTATTATAAACCCTGATGCTATTCACTGTTACAAATCACAAGCTCAGAGCTTTACTGGAAAATGACAAAAGTTGTCCAAAATAGATTTCATAAGAAAACAAAACTGTAACTCCTAACAACATTAGTTTCTAAAAATCTGAGGTGTAAGGTATTATTCAAAGTTTTACTCAAAACATAGGTAACTTTTGAATTGCCCATTATTTCCTCTAATAGGGAAACATCATTTTTGAGCCTTTTCACTAGAAATAAATCTAAAACCGGTTACCAGAAACTTTTAATCAATCTGTAATCCCTAATCTAAACTTTTAATTCATCAGAAACTATTTTATAAGAAATACAGTAAGTATAGAAAAATAAAGATTCTTAAACACAGAGATAGGGCCCGGCATGATAGCATAGTGGTTAAAGTCTCGCCTTGCACACATTATGATCCTATCTTGGCACTGGTTCTAATCTTAGCAGCCCTGCTTCCCATCCAGCTCCTTGCTGTGGCCTGGGAAAGCAGTCGAGGACGGCCCAAAGCCTTGGGACCTGCATCCACGTGGGAGACCTGAGGAAGTTCCTGGCTCCTGGCTTCGGATTGGCAAAGCTCTGGCTGGTGCGGTCATTTGGGGAGTGAATCATCAGATGGAAGATGTTCCTCTATGTCTCTCCTCCTCTCTGCAAATCCACCTTTCCAATAAAAATAAATAAAGCTAAAAAAAAAAAAAAGACAGAGATAAATCTTCACCAAATTTTTTGAAAGTAAGGAAAATTAAAGTCACAAAATAATAAATTTGACAAAATGCACTTGGTTCTGGAGATGGCATTACAGTGCAACGTTTTAAGTGATGCCTGAGATGCCAAAATCCCACAGGACTGCCAGGATGAAGGCATAGCTGCTCCGCTTCTGATCCACTTCCTTGCGAATGTGCTGGGCAGACAGCAGACAGTTCCGGAGCTGAGCCCTGACACCCGTGTGGGAGCTCCTGGCTTCAGCCATGTCCGCCCTGGGCTTTTGCAGCCATTCCCTAGTGAACCAGCACGTGGAGAATCCATCTTCCCCTTTCGAATAAATGATGATTGTCTTGTTCTTTTTTAATTATTTGATTAAATTGAAAACAAGGTTAGTTTCTGGATCAAGCTTCCTGCTAAGAACAAGATGGGAATCACAAAGTCACACATACACACACACACACACACACACACACACACACACACAGAGTATGCGACAGGGGAACTGCAGAATCAGTCAGAAGACCTAGAGAGCTTCTAAACAATGATAATCCATGAAGGATGAGGAAACCTTTGGACAGGCATCTCCAGGAGGCAGGCTTGTGGCTCCACCGTTCAGACTTTGCTTGGGACCCCTGCATTCCACATCAGAGTACCTGGCTCAGACCCTGGTTCCATTTCCGATTGTAGCTTTCTACTAACATCATGCTGGGAGGCAGCAAGTGACAGGCTCCAGTCACCCAAGAGGGAGAGCCAGGCTGAGTTTAACATGCCTGGCTCCAGCCTAGCCCCTCCCAGCTCCTGCAGACCTCTGGACAGGAAGTCAGCAAATGCAAGATCTGTCTGCATCTGTGTATTCCTGGCTCTCTGCATTGCAAACACTAAAGAAACCAAATAAAATTTTTCTTCAGAAGAACAATGATTTTTTTAAAAAGCTTTGTTTTTATTGGAAAGTCAGATTTACAGAGTGAAGCAGAAACAGAGGGGGAAAGTTTGCATCCACTGATTCACCCCCCTTGTAGCCACAACGGTCAGTGCTGAGCCAATCCAAAGCCAGGAGCTTCTTCCGCATCTCCCGCATGGATGCAGGGTCTCAAACTGTGAGCCATCCTCTACTGCCTTCCCAAGCCACAAGCAGGGAGGTGGAAGGGAAGTGAAGCAGCTGAGATATGAACCTGTGCCCATATGGGATCCCGGGTACACAAGCTGAGGGCTTAAGCCACTAGGCTACTGCACCAGGCCTGGAAGAACGATGATTTATAAGGGCCAAAAGAGGGAGGGGGGAGGGAGGGGGGAGGGAGGGAAGGAAGGAAAGAAAGGGGAGGGGAGGGAGGGAAGGAAGGAGGGAAGAGGGAGAGAGGGAAGGAAAGAGACAAGGGGAGGGAGGGAAGGAAGGAAAGAGGGAAGGGGGAGGGAGGGAAGGAATGAAGGAGGCAGGGGAAGAAGGAAGGAAGGAAGGAAGGAAGGAAGGAAGGAAGGAAGGAAGGAAGGAAGGAAGGAAGGAAGGGAGGGAGGGAGGAAGAGCCAATATTAGACATTTTTTTCCCTACTCAAAAGCCAGTAGATTGGAACACTAAGTAAGGGCTTCAAAAAAATTGGACACTAAGAAGATAAACCTTAGAGATCAGGGCTGCCAGGAAGGATGAACAAAGCAGCACACACTTTGGCATGGAACTTGTAACAGTGACTTTTCCGAAACGTCTACGCAGTAATCCCCAAGTGAGGACCTTGAGACAGCAAGAGTATGCAGGTCATTCAGATGTGTCCAATTTTATCCCAGTGCCCCTTATTACAGAGCTGGTTCTGGGGCTCAAGCTGTGGGTCACATTCCATCGACTCCCCAGGAACATTAGCAGGGAACTGGATCAGAAATGGAACAGCCAGCACTCGAACCAGTGCTCATAAGAGAGGCCACTGCTTTGCAGGCGGTGGCTTAACCCACTGTGCAAAAACTTTTGCCCCAAACATCATTAAAACTGAAAACATGCCTGCAATAGCATTTGAAATATACAAGTAAGCCAGATTGGAAGAAGTTAACTAAATACATGTATTTCTAAATATAGAAAAAAAATTCCACTTAATATATCAAAAAAGAAACCATACCCAAAACCTTTAAACATGTAAAAACACAAGCATATGAAAAGGAAAGCCAAACGATGCTAACAATGTAAAAAGAGGCTCATCAGGACAGCTCAGGTACAGTGAGTGTCACTCATCAGGACAGCTCAGGTACAGTGAGTGTCACTCATCAGGACAGCTCAGGTACAGTGAGTGTCACTCATCAGGACAGCTCAGGGTAAACACTGAGAGTGTCACTCATCAGGACAGCTCAAGGTACAGTGAGAGCGTCACTCATCAGGACAGGTCAGGTACAGTGAGTGTCACTCATCAGGACAGCTCAGGTACAGTGAGTGTCACTCATCAGGAGAGCTCAGGTACAGTGAGCGTCACTCATCAGGACAGCTCAGGTACAGTGAGTGTCACTCATCAGGACAGCTCAGGTACAGTGAGTGTCACTCATCAGGACAGCTCAGGGTAAACACTGAGAGTGTCACTCATCAGGACAGCTCAGGTACAGTGAGTGTCACTCATCAGGACAGCTCAGATACAGTGAGTGTCACTCATCAGGACAGCTCAGGGTAAACACTGAGAGTGTCACTCATCAGGACAGCTCCGGTACAGTGAGTGTCACTCATCAGGACAGCTCAGGTACAGTGAGAGCCTCACTCATCAGGACAGCTCAGGGTAAACACTGAGAGTGTCACTCATCAGGACAGCTCCGGTACAGTGAGTGTCACTCATCAGGACAGCTCAGGTACAGTGAGCATCACTCATCAGGACAGCTCAGGGTACAGTGAGTGTCACTCATCAGGACAGCTCAGGTACAGTGAGCGTCACTCATCAGGACAGCTCAGGTACAGTGAGTGTCACTCATCAGGACAGCTCAGGTACAGTAAGCGTCACTCATCAGGACAGCTCAGGTAAACACTGAGAGTGTCACTCATCAGGACAGCTCAGGGTAAACACTGAGAGCGTCACTCATCAGGACAGGTCAGGTACAGTGAGCCTCACTCATCAGGACAGCTCAGGGTACAGTGAGTGTCACTCATCAGGACAGCTCCGGTACAGTGAGTGTCACTCATCAGGACAGGTCAGGTACAGTGAGCGTCACTCATCAGGACAGCTCCGGTACAGTGAGAGCGTCACTCATCAGGACAGCTCAGGGCACACAGTGAGACATTGCTCTTCCCAATTCGGCTGGAATTGACCAGATGTGGACAGGGAGGGGGAGGAGCAGCATGTGCTACAGAACCAGCCACATGAGAAACAGCTGCCTGGTTCTAGCACATAATCATTTTCAAAACTGCCTTACCTCTTTTTCTGCAAGGCAAAGCTTTTCAAGTAGTTCACATTTCTCTTTTATTAGTCCAGAAAATTGTGCAGCAAGCTTTTTCTCTCTCACTAAAAAATACATATATATATACATGTGTGTACCAAAAGTTTTTAAATTATTCATAAAAATGAGATCTAAAATAGAAAAGAAAAAAAAAGCTTACCCACGTAACACCAGCTTCTGACCTGAAACACATTTTGAACAAAATTTATGTTATAATATGCATTATATAAACCGAAATTAACCTCTGACAATTTAAATACAACAAGTGGTTTCTGTAAGTTAAATATTCTACTTCTAATGAGAAAAACTGGAGATATTAGAGTGTTCCTATCAGTCAAAGACCACCATCCTCGCACCCCTGGAACCCAGAGTGGCACCCCGGAGTGGGGGACCAGCTCCGTGGTCTGGAACTTGGGGTGGCCGCCCAGGTCCCTGCTGCCGCGTCTGGGTGGGGCGCGTGTGCCCGCCCAGTGTGGTCCCAGTCCTCCAGGCAGCAGCTGTTCCTGCCCCACAGGTCCAGCCCAGGGGCCTCTGCCCAGGGTGTGTGCCTTTGTCCCTCAGAACAACCATGGGGAGCTGCTTCTCCGGGCGCAGACCCCTGGGCCTGTGCGATGATCATTGCTGTTGGGTGCAAGGGAGCACCAGCCTTGGAGGGATGTGTGGAATGGAGAACAGGCCGGAGACAGCAGGTGCGAGATGCTCCACCATGCGCCCCTGCCCTTGAGGCTGCATTCCTGCCATCGGCAGGCTCTGAAGGCCTGGCAGCCCTCTACTGGGCAGTCCCCTGCTCCTGCTCTCTGGCTGCCTCCCAGCTGGACCTGTTCTCTAGGGGGAGTGTGTGTGTGTGATGAGGGGAGGGTCCAGGGGCCTGTGGGAAGGAGCCTCCATTGTCTCTGTCCAGCCTAGTGTGCCCTAGAGAGGAGGCCGCTGGCCAAGGAGGGCCTCCATGGTGGCTACTGCCTCCTGACCACCGCCTCCTTTAGCCTTCCCCTCCTGGATCACCCTCTTACCCCCAGCCCTCCACCCCGGTACTGTCAGAACCAGCCCTGAGGCCGGAGACTCACCATGCACCCCGCGACTGCACGGTACACATAAGTCGTGAGGGGAGAAAGTGTGTGCAAGGCAGGCAGAAGGAGCAGCCTGCAGGCCCCTTCGTGTGTGTGTGTGTGTGTGTCTGTGTGTCTGTGTATACGAGGCACGCAGTGATGGCCTGTCTGAGCCGGATGGGACCTCAAGATCACTTCTGCAAGAACGTCAGAGCCCTGGTCATGGGCTGGTTCTGAGTGGCTGTGTGCAAGGACAGCCCTGCGTGCTGCTTCCCCGCCAACAGCACTTGCCTTGGCTGGGGAACACACTGCAAAAGCACGTGGTGCCACCGGCCTGTGCAGTGGGGAACGTGTGTGCAAGGCTCCTGGACAGCTGATGGTCCCACAGTTAGCATCAGTGGGATTGAGCCAGTGGCCTCGTGATGCAGGTGGATACAGCTGAGGCTAACAAGGTCAGGTGGGCTGGAGCAGTTACTGCAGCCACTTCAAAACTGAACCAGTGGCAGGAACATCAATTGCTTATTCCCTCTCATTTTTCTCTTGCCATCTTTCAAATAAGGTTTCTTTTGTTGAAGTGAAACAAATTAATAAACTAAGCTGGAAGAAGCTAGTCTAAATGCATCAATAACCAGTAATCATAACAATAAACTTCTGAACTTGATGTATTGATTAAAAATCATATGGGTACGATGCTCACATCCCAGACTAGAGGGCCTGGGCTCAGTCTCTGGCTGTACGGCCTGCCTCCACAGCGCTGCACATGCAGACCGCGAGAGGCACCAGCTCAAGCAACTGGGCTGTGGCGCTCAGGTGGGAGACTCTGGTTCTCAGCTCCACCCCAGCCGGGCCGAGCCCTGGCTACTGGGGGCGTCTGAGCAGTGAAATAGCAAAGTGAGAATTTCTTTTGGTCTGTTTCTCTGTGTTTGTTCTCCTCTCTGCCGTTCTAATGATTTTAAAAACAGAGAAAAGAAGAAACAAACAGATTTTCTTATTAATAGTATATAAACCTTCTACAAGAAAATTATTAGGAAATTCTTGCTTTTAAAAATTACTATGAATCCCTTCTGTTTTTATCTTACACTTACACGTATATAACTATAATTTAGTTTCTTAAAGCAATACACATTTTTCTTATATTAGTTGTTCAACCTAAAACAGAAATAATTTTTGTTTTAGAAATAGCATGTTTTAAGTGTAGGATTATATACTTACTGATTGAAAACCTCGCCACAAAAATAAGAAAACAGTCAAAATTCCAATAATAATTGTGAATATCACCCATTCCCATGGGAAGCCATGGGAATTATGGCTATGTCCAGTATCTTGAAGCAATGGCACCACAACCTTCAAGACAAAGGAAATTAAGCTCTTAAAATGCAGTTTTAGCAGTAAGTATTGACTGCAAACATAGACACAAGTTTATATGGTCAACTCCATTTTCTTCTTCATGAAATGGAAACATAAGGCAAAATATGATATCTTTCTGGAAACTTGTACGTAATATCAATCAGTGTTGAAGAAGTGCAATAGAGGGGTGGAGCTTGGTAGCCTAGTGACTAAAGTCCTCACCTTGCATGCGCCAGGATCCCATACGGGCACCGCTTCCAATCCCAGCAACCTCACTTCCCACCCAGCTCCCTGCCTGTGGCCTAGGAAAGCAGTAGAAGACGGCCCAAAGCCTTGGAACTTGCACCTGCGTGGGAGGCCTGGAAGAGGCTCCTGGCTCCTGGCTTTGGATTGACTCAGCTCTGGCCATTGCAGCCACTTGGGGAACAGGAGGAACTCAAACAACTAAATAGTAAAACCGTAAATTTAAAAAAAAAAAAAGTTTGCATTACATCCAATTAGATGTTTTTCTTTTTTTTTTTATATAAAATTTTATTTTGACATTCTTTACATAGTTAATTAGGGTAAGAAGGTTCAAGGGCTACATGAAAGTGGATAATACTAGTATGTTTTCCATATTGTTACCTTCATGTTTAAAGGGGGGTATTTAAGGGAGAAGGCCCACCCAATTTCCCACCCTCCCCAGGTCCCGGATGTAGAGCATGCTCTGAGGTTCTTGCTCAAGTGGTTTTGATATTGCAACAGTTATGAATCGCTGCCAATCTTGCCACTCCAAGCACTATGAGGGCTTTGAAAAATCCACTGATTGACATAGTCCATCATAGCTGAGATGGTTGGTTGACCTGTTCTGTCTTCTCTCTTTTCTTCGTTAGGGTTCTAAGTCCAACATTTAGATTAGGAAGATCTCCAAAGAAACTTCTTGTATGTGCTAACAAGTACAGGGCCTGGCACCGTCCATCGCTCCAATCAGCTGGTGGTTGCAATTGCTGGGTTGGCTCTGTTTTCACTCCCGACTTCCACTGGAACCAATGGGTGTTGCAGTCCAGCCTGGTTCTGCCCAGCACATACTTGGTCCTCACATAAACCAGCGGGAGCTGCAGCCTAGGTTGGAGCGACCCACAATAACCCCCACCAGGCCCACTCCCTACCCTGGTTTGCCAGTAAGTGTAGCAGTAATCCAGCTTGTCCCACACCCCATTCCACCCCAGCCGCTACCTTAGTTTTATGTCCTCCTGTGGAAGTGGTAACCCAAGAGGGATGAGCCCACTATTACCCTCAAAGGCCTCTCCCACTCCCAGATTCCAGCTGATGCTGCGTCTAAGCCCAAACAAACCTCGCCCACTTTAATTCTGTTTGCACCAGTAGGAATAATCCGCTGAGCCCGGCTTTTCCCTGATCTAGTTAACATGAGGCGCACAGGTGTGGTAGCTCTGCCTAGTCTGGTCTGCCCCCATCCCAGCCCATGCTCTCCTGCGGAAGTAGCTGTCCTGCAAAGGAACCCTCCCTTATTCCCCTGCTGGCTCTACCCACTTCCTTTCTTGTTCTCAGGCTGGTAGGGCGCTGCGGTCCCCTCCAGTACAGGCAACCTCACCTTGGCATTCCATAATGTGCACTAGTCTTTGTTGCGACCAAACCTGGCTCGACCCACACTGGTGCCTGGATTTGCCAGTGGATGACGTGGACAGATTCAGCCTGGTCTTGCCCCCACGTCTGCCAATTGTATGCCAGTGGGTAGCTTTCCATGGCCTTTTCTGGGCTGTTTCCTATCATGTTTCTTGCGCTGACCTGCCGGGTCTGTGTCCTGCCAGAGGAGTTGCCCAGGCTCTTCCATCAGAACCTCTCCCAATGCCAGGTTTCACGCTTACCAGTGGGTCCATGAGCCAACCCTACTCAGTCCACCTCCTGTAATAACAGGAACTGTGGCTTTTCCTGACTGGCCTTCCACCCAATCTGGTTCTTGCTGTTGGATGTTCCAGCCCAGCCATGGTTTGTCCATACCCACATATGGCTCACACATGGCTCAGTAGGGGTTTGAGACCCTGCCTAGCCCATCTCACATCTGCCCTGGTCCTCCAGAACACCAGGGGGAGTCGGGGTCCAGCCCCGTTCGGTGCATCCAATCCCAGTCCACACTTGTGCCAAGGGAGACTACAACTGTTTCCAGATCAGAACGCAGCTCCCCTTCCAGGCCATGTGCCTCTTGGTGGGAACCTCAGCCCAGCTAGGGTTGTCCCCTTAGCTCCCCAACCGGATCTGTTCCCAGCCATAGCTCACTCGCATGCCAGTGGTTTCTCTGACTCAGCTTGGCACAGCTCCTCACCTGTCCCGACCTCTGCCTTAGACACTGTGGCTTCGTGTCCCTGGCTCCCGCAGACCAGCAGGTACAAGAGCCTAGCTCGGCATGACCTTTGCTCCCTCCTGGTTTCTAGTTTAACTTGTGGGCTAAGGTTTGTTCAGTTGTGCCTAATCTACTCTGTTCCATTACACATTGGCCAGCTGTTGGAGCTACTTTTGCAGGACAAGCCCCAAGCCCTAGCTTCTGCATGACTGGTATTTGGTGCTCAGAATTATTAGTGATTACAAGTTTTGCAAAGGAAGAGTTACTGCCTGTTTCAGGTCCAAGAAGCACAATGGGTTCAACCTGGAGCTAATTAAGCAGCAACTCAAAGAACCAAATCCCCAGAGCTCCCGGGCCGGGCGGCCAGCAGGCAGAGCCTGGCACCAAATGGCGCACTGGCCACCCGGGGACAGCTCAGCACATGGCGGCTGTGCCCATGGCGGCCGTC